GTCAAAACTTCATTTTTCACTCCACTGTCTCCTTCAACTAAACAAAACCCGCCGAAAAATTACTTTGGGCAGCCGGGAGACTCTCCTGAGAGTAACCTCTCCTAAAAGGTAACAAAATTGCATTTAATCAGATTTTGGAAATAAAGTCTTCATATACCGGTACATGTAGCCTAATGTATTAAACCTCATTTATTGAAAACCTAGAATTTAGAAAATATCGGTGTTGCATATCGGTCATAGTTCATGGAACACAGGAGATCGCTGACATTTGGAATATTGCAGAAAGAAATCTCTGGGGGTGCATATGTGGAAATCATGCAGAACATTTGCAGCAGGGGTTGCTGTTGCGATGGCATGTACCGGTACGTGTACATGTACACGTACAGGTATGTACACTCCACAATTTTGTACAGTTGTGGTGGCTATTTCATTTTCTGTTGGAGAATTGAAACAAATGATTTTATATCTCAACATTGGTTTTAGTATCAGCTTAAACTTAAAGTCTACATCTGCAAGGGGAAATTTCACTTTCAGAAGTGGAGTTTTCCTTGAAACGGCCATGCAATCAAAAATAAAATAATTGAATTTTGCCATTGGGAAATAGTTTAGTGCACACTTGTACATGTACTTGCTTTGGAGGAGAGCAAAATCTTGTGTAATTTCTTACCTCTTTCATGAACAAAAATGCTAACATTTTTACTGCATGAACGTAGTGAAAAAGGGCAACACTTATGGAAAAGCATGGTTATATTGCAGAATTTAGGATTACACTGTTGAAAACATTTGGGTGAAATGTTCGAGCAGTGTTAATACAGCATTCAGTATTCAATTTTTTTTGTGGGAAAAAATACTTCACTAATCTAACTGGGAAACATTCTTTAAGCAGTTACTTTCCCTTTCCCGGTAACCTTTAATTGTGTTACTTTGTGTTAGGATTTTGGTACAGAGATGTCGTTGTACACAAAAATGTATAAAAGAAGTAATAATTTGTATTGACAAGCAGGGTTTTCTGGAAATCCCAATTTAATGTACAATGCAAACCTTCGAAATAAATGTTGAATATTATGCATAGTTAGTATATACAAATTATGCTGTAATATTGGAAATTGCAGTAGTAATTTGTTAGTTCACCTAAATTACCGTTTCCTTCCTTTCGGGGCAAAAAAAAAAAATAATCCCATTTCAATCACGGTTCACTGACCAGAATTGCTGATTGGAATAGTCGGCTTTTCATCACACACAAAGACTGGAAAAAATTACCCCTTGGGGTTCTCAATATGCTTAGTTTAACGCAGAGAGATTGCCACAAAGGCTATTAGTGACCATATTGTGAGTGGCTTCTGGACGTAACAAAAGGCCAGCGTTGGCTGCAACGTGTTGGGTGGGGTTGCTATTAAACTGGTGCGGTATCCATGCTTATTATGTGTGTTTAACCTGGAGTCCCCCCTGGGTACCTATCAAGCAGATTGCTTTATGAAATACGTGTACATTTGTACATATAGGTAACGGAACATTTAACAAAGAAATTTTTTCGGAATTTTTTTTTTGGACGTGGTCAACTTAATTTTTGCATGATACATCTGTACATTGTACATATACACATGGCGCGGTTGAGTTTTCAATTTCGTAAAACTTTTTCCAACTCAACCATTCAAACAGTGGGTAATGGGCAGTTTCTTTCGTATCTTGTTGATCTGTGCACAGAATGCAGTTTTTTTGCTCAACTTGCTTCTGTTGATTACTGGAGTTTGGGTCTCTTTAAGTAACACTTGTTGTGGGATACTGTTATGATTCTCCTTAAGTTACGAATTTCTACATAATTTTGTAAAAATCACATTTCTTCTTCCATTTTCAGCACAGACATTTTATGACATAATTTTTTCTTTGTACATACAAATTTGAAAATATTCAAATTTTTGACAAGTTTCTCATTCAAGGTGCATCATTAACTGACCGTGTATGATGAAACCAAACTTGGGCAAAGGACCACTGCTGTTCATGCACATGTACATGTACCGGTACACGCAGTAAGCCTACATGTGAATTCACAATTTGCTGAACTAAACATTAATTCTGTTTACTCAATGTTTTGCTTTGTATTTAATTTCTGCCTGCTCTGTGTTTACCAGAGGGGAACGGAACTTTCTGTGCAAATAAACCAGGCTTTGAATTCTGCATATTATTTCCTGTAACAAACTGTAACATCATCAAGGGTAACAATTGTTGGGAAAGGAACCAGTATAGCTCAGTGCACATTGCAGAAGTATTATGCAACTATTGATTATTGGATGAGTAGTCTCTGTACACGCACATTGCAGTCATTTGAACAACAAAACTGAAAGTTTGCCAACTGTCACGAGATGAAGTGATTAAAGGATTGTTGGGTCAAAGGTGTCTTGTTAATGGGAAGGTACCTGTATATTTATTTGCCTTTTCACATTGCATCATCACGGGGATCAGCACACAGTGTTTGTACAAAATGTACTCAAAATATCCATTCTTAGTGCACAACCTACGTAAATCCAGCTGAATGTACACACGTATACATGTATTTGTAAAAAAAAAAAAAAATCCTGTTTCGCTTTTCATATCACTGAATACCAATGGACATGTGGCATTTGCAGACACCATGCAGTACATACAGTACAAGTAATATCTACAGTACGGTACGCTGTATGGATGAACATTACATGTACATGTATCGACCTATGTATGTCCCAGAAGTCAGGCCAACATCGTTTTTCAGTTTCTATAGCGAACTTGGGGGGGGGGGGGGGGAGGGGGAATTGGCACATGCACAGCCTCACCCTCCATTTTTCCTGCACCTAAGCATAAGTTCCAAATCCAATACAGGCCTCAACTCAACCCTACACCTGAACGGTGCAATCATGGAGGAGTACTAGTATTTGTTTAATATTCCTTCATGGTAAAATTCCGTCCTCCCATGGTCCTCCAGTTGTTTCTGATAAAACAATCTGTCATTGGAAACAATCACATGCGTGATGAGATACCAAGGCCCTCCACTCTGTCACTTTTACCCCTTCACAAAATAAAAAAATGCCAACCTAACAACCTACATGTGTGTTTTACACATGTAAAGTTACAAGTAAATTTCCTCCAGCAAGGCTGATCTTTGACAGCAGACTTGACCTTGTTTGACCCCAGAGCTGAGGCACCAACACCCCAACCCCTCTTTGCTAGAGTCGTTGACATTTGAATGCGTCACAGAGTGCATTCCAAGCTGCGCAGAATGTGCATTCCAGTAACCTGCTCCAGACATTTTTAACGAGTCATTCCCGTTGATTTCTCAGGCCCTATAAAAAGCATCACATTAAAACCCAGTGTCAAAACTTTTGAGGTTCACCGTACAAAAGAGACACTTCACGGTTGAATTATTACCGATGCTGACAAAGAAACCAACTTTTATGACATTCCATTGTGTTGAGTGCAATAACGTTCCTTTCTGCTGAACTTATCGAGGGGATTTCCAAACTTCGGTTGTCTCTAGATGATTCATGCAAAGTATATTTAGCCCTTTCTGTAAACTTATGGTCATCTCCGATGCTGTACAAAATAAATATGTGTACTTTATGCATTACTTATTCACCAATTCATTTGGAAATGAAATCGTGGCCTCTCCTGAAAGCGGAAATACTTTTCAATTTGTACAGTTTGGGCTATGTTTGAAGTAAATTCTGTTTTGGGGAAGTGGAAATACTAGTCAATTTGCTTACATTTTGGGCTATGTTTGAAGTAAATTCTGTTTAAGAAATAAATGGATTGTTAATTTGTCAATTCTTTTGAAGTGCTATCGAAAGAAAAAAATCAGTGAATTGCTTTCTTCGTAATTGTTTTTATCAGTGAGAATGTTTTTTATTTTCACAGCTTGTTTTTATATGGCAACAATGCTAAGAATCTCTAGGGAACAGTGGCAAGGTTGTTTCGTTAATCCAAACATCACAAGTGGACACGCCTTGTCCTTGGGATTGTTTGTAAACACTCCCAAATATTTCTAGCAGATACATATATTAAAGCAGGTGGAAGCTTTTCAACTTTCTGACATTTCAGTAGGCAAACTACTTGAATTCACACAAGTGGGATACACATGTACAATGTGTGACAACTGCCCCATGCACAGTAATATGTAATTGGTTAATTTGGAGTCAATTCTTACAGCACCCTGCATACCGTAGATATATCCCCTAGAAAGCACTCCCCAGCTACGAGGCTGAAAGTGAAAGTATGTTGGTGGCCTTTCCGTCAAGGTTGTAGGAATGGTTTTAGGCTTTAAGCATATTTTGGACAGAGTTAATACAGCTATGGTTACAAAGTACACAGACGAAATGCCCAGAAGAGTGTAAAAAGTCATGTACGAGGAGAATGTTCTGTGTTTAAATTTTGTATATGACCGTAGAGAAAGATTATGTTGAAACATAAACAAAATAAGTAAGGCTGTGTCCGAAACGGGCTTCCAGAGCTACGGCTACGTCTATTGTCAGCGCGTCCCCGCGTATTTTCAATGGGCGCAGACCTAGACCTAGCTCTAGACAATTGATTCGGATGCAGCCTTATTCTTAAAATGGAAATAATTTGTTTTGTTTTTATTTTTAAGAACACTTTAGATATTCCGGAAAAGTTCAGGACTTTTGTTTTTGAAGTTCAGGGCTGATTTCTGCTTCATGCATGTACACATAGATACATGTATTTCGTAACATTTGATCGATTTTGATGGTTTCAAGAAACTGTCTTCAAAACTCTGTCCTTTTGAACTTGAAGAGGCCATTTGTATTTTTCTTATTTTTAAATTTTTTTGATATTTTTTATTTTAATCATTCATTCGTAGGTATCACTGTTTTCATTACTGTTTTGTAAATTTATTCGTATGGGGTTTTGGAGATTCCCTGTGTGTTCCAAAATAGGTACCAAAATAATAAAATGTTGTTGTGCACTAAGTATATAATTTATTATCATTTTTCAATTTTTTTTTGGCTTGAATTCAGGGAGGAGGTGTCGGACCATTCAGTGAAATGGGGAGCCACGCTCAGCTTCACCTGTCGGATGAGCGCTAATGCATCCACGGGGATCCTGGAGCCTTGCCATTGCCGCGTGTCCGTCCGAAAGGTTCGTATCTAGAGAATCACATGTTAAATGCATATCAAAATCTGTAAATGTCACTGGCCAGAAGAGCGAGAGATTTACAGTTACCGACAACAGACACCATGGGATTTTAGCAATATTTGATCATCCATTTTTCTCGTATTCCCAAAGTGACCGGCATGTTGAATTTGACATAAATGAATCTTGTTTAAATATTATACCCTTTTTTCCCCATGAAAACGGAGACATATTGTTTTCAAGATTGAACTCTGCTGAAAATATTTGGTTACCTTGCCGTTACAAGGTTACAATTTAAGGTAACAGTTTATGTCGGCTTCCTTTTTTGTGGCGAATATTATAAATGTTTTGGCTTTAAATAGGACATTTTTGATTTTACATATACGTGTGTATATATTTTGATTTTTTTTTACGGATTAAGCAAAAAAAAAAAAGTTCTGCTTCCGATTGCATGGCATTCTAAAATAGGGTACCGGTAGGACGGGAATTTTTTCTTTTTTGGCCATGTTTTTGTGTGTACTTCCTGCATGTAGTCAATGGTAAAACTTAGAAATTGATTGTTTTTTTCCTCATTTTTCCCACAAAAAATTAGGGTAGGGGCTGTCATCAGAATAGGGTAGGTAGGGAAACCGGGAGCAGAACTATTTTTTTTGGGGGGGGGGGGGCCTTAGCACTGAAAAAAAAAACAGCGCCCACTTGTACCAAAAGGAACCAAAAGAAGGATAACAAAGTGCAGTAATGATAACATTATACATTGTGTATGAAGAAAAATTACATTAACAATTAATTATTAAGAAAGTTATGTGTCCTTGAGCTGTATGTCTTGGTTCCTGTTCTTAGGATGACCCACAATTTTATCTGGCAGGCCGTTCCATACATTAACATTGTTCCATACCCTTACACATTTATATCCTGTTCCAACATTTTTTTAAGTGGAAAACTACATCAGAATATATTGAATTGTCTGTGTATGTGACTATGTGTCATATCCTAGTATGAGAACAAACTCGACATCCTTGTTACTCACCTCTGATCAAATTTGCTCTTCACTAGAAACTGAAAGGGCCTTACACTAATGTTGTCATAATTTTATATTAAAATTGAAATCCTTATGACGAATTCATACTTCCTGGTCCTGACATCATTGGGTCCGGAGTAGTAGGAAACAGCTGAGTATAAGGTTTGAATGTCTTTTTCGTGACAGTTTCCACGTAACCAAGGGTTGAAGTGATACAACATAACGCTACTGGAAAGTGTCTATTTAGGCCTATATTTATATTTTTTTTAGCCCATCATACAAGCACAAATAAAAACTGTGAATGCTTTTGCACTGCCCAATGACCTACCTGTACCTGTGCATGTACTGTACATGTTATTCCACAAAATTGTATTTCTTCATTGAAATATTTTAGAGGGAAAAAAAACCCCGAAAAAATTATTTTACTAGATTAGTAAAAAAAAAAAACTCTTACGGTTACGGGTCAGTGTCATGTACATGCGTACCGGTACAGTGAACAAAGAAGGGTTGGCTATTGTGGAAATTATTTTGCCATATGGCCGGACAATACATGCGTAGCTCTACACGTACAAAGATGTTCTGCAGATGATAGGAGCAAAAGGGTCAAAGCTCATGAGTAAAGGGTCAAAGGGCAAGATTTCAGATACTGTATGGCTCCACCATAATTACGATAGAGATACTTGACAGAGTGCTACAGGTTCAAGTCAGAACTGTGTTGACATAATACGGTTCGGTCTTCCATGCATGCATGTAATATAAGCCTCACTCAAAGGCGAATGAACTTTCAGCATTTCCGACCATTTTGGCTGTGCTTGAAGTACGATACATGTACAAAAATGTACGTGACACCATATCAGCTACTGTGGCAATGTATCTAATACATTTTTGCTTCCAGCATCGTACATGTGGCTTTGTGCCCGTGTGAACATGAGACTTACATGTAGTTATGATTTTTATTAATTGAACAGACTGTTTCTGATCAACTGTGTTTGAAAATTGAAGGCTTTCGCATCCCAGCACATAGTACAACCACAACATGCATTACTTGTACTGGTTCATTTACCCATTAATAGCTCCATGATATACCGCACCGGTACATAGCGTTTTGTTTGAACATGCACTGTAATGTACAACGTATGTACATGTACATGTACATGACTACATGTGGTATTAAGAATGCTAATTTGCACACTTATTGAGATTAGGTCAGCTCATACATACATGTGCACATATGGAGACCATGTCCCAGTCATGCATTTGTATACTTTTGTCATTTAAACATTTGAATATATCCGCTCATTGGCTCTTATTGTTGAGAGATGTAAAACACTTATTTTAAATTTAAAAAAAGCAATTGGAGGAATCAGAAATGAAGTGACAGACGTTTTGTTTTTACACAGTAAAAAATTGTTTTGAAAAGGTCGCCACCCATTCCATGCCCTGCCCTGCCAATCTTGCTTTTCCACAGTCGTTGCAAACAGCTTAACATGTTTCTGCTTCAGCGTGAATCGCACTAGTGCCAAAGCCTCATTTAATCACTCCATTTGCCCTTCATGCAAGGCTGAACAGGTTGGCACGTCAAAGCCACCCTCCATCGGTTTCCAAATGTCAGGCACTTCACCTCTCTCCGAGGCATCTATAGTTACCCCGCGGCTCCTGATATGTGTGTCAGCGAGGCTTTACAGAACCACACAGAGTGATAACACATTATGTGGATCTGTGCTCTAAAAAAATATGTGTATCGTTTGAACTGTGGGGGAATGTGGGTTTTAGTCAACAATCTACTAGAAACACAATGCTTATGAGCAACATTTCTCTGCAACATTCAAAACAACTGGTCAGCCACACATTGGAATGGGTGCATTTAGTATATTTCTGTTAATTGGTCCAATTTAGTTTTCAGATTTTAAAAATGAAGAAAAGGGAACATTAGTTCACGAAAATGTGAAAAGAAATTAGGAGCTTGTTGATTCTTTCTTTTTACAAAAACCTTGTTTTTTGGGGGGAGGAGAGGGGAGGGGACCGACACTCCATCCCTGGGTACTTTTTATAATTTCCCTACCCCTTTATTTTGAATCTACATGTATTTGGAAATATGAGCAAAGCTCAAAGCCTATATTGTAATTTGGAAATGGTGTCTGACTTTCCTATCAATAAAAAAGCCAGTTATTTCTATCCAGCAGGATACAGACTGAATCTCAATATATTCTTCACATTAACTCATACTTGTGATACCTCTTTAACAATAAATTTATAATCCCTCTGTACTGCCGACAACATTCAAGCTCAGTTCTTATCATTACATGTACAAATGTATTTACCTCCCACAAAGTGCTAACATTCCGTTAATGGATTGTTTCAAGATTATTTAACAATGGCAGATTTAGTTGGTAATAGCCAAGACCTCAGCGGCCTGAAAGATGTCCATGTACATCCTGGCTATAAATGCACCATTCACATCTACACTATAATCGAAGTTGCTTGCGCTGAAGAGGAGAATCCCTTACGAGGAGCTGGCTAACCTTAAAGCACCTATACCTTAGTTAAAAACAAGTAGGGCAGCGTTTGTTTATGGTGTAAATCAATAACAAACACGTGCAACAACATAGGTGAATCGAGGACAGGAACCAAATCGAGGACAACCTCGATTAGAAAACGTGAACAAAACCAATGAGACCTGTTGCTAAAAAGTTAAACTACAAACAAAGGAAAAGGGAAGAGGAACAAAAGAAAATCCTCGATTTACACCATAATCAAACGTGGGCGTACATGTACGTGTAGCTCACAGCAAAACAACATTCATGTACATGTACATGTAAGTGTTCATCAGGGTATCATCATCATCATCAGTCTCCAAATCCAGCTATGGGATGTTGAGCCACCCACGCCAACCAATCAGTCGAGATGAGCCACAGGGCAGGGGCTAACAGAGCATGGTCAGCCTCAAGCTGTCGCACCCAGGTATTTCGGGGACGGCCGCGTGGTCGAGACCAACCAAAATCAGGCTCGACTCCTGTAGATGCATCAACGGCCAGCTTGAGGGCGGGTGTGCTGGGGTGTTGCTAGGGAGTCGACGAATGTGCCCGAAGATGGAGTGACGCTGTGAAAATGCAGCGAATATCCTCCAGCCTGGTTTTCTTAGAGATGGCCTCGTTGGTGATGAAATCAGACCATCTCACCCCTAGGTATTGGTAGTGTACATATTGCAATGATGGAGCATCCAGGCAGTCCAGGAGCTTGAGATGCAAAGGCCATGTTTTTTTTTTGTATTTCTCGGTCTGATTCCTTCTCTCAGTGGAGAAGTTTCAGAGATTGCTCGGGTGTCAGCACAGCCTCTTCAATTCACAACTGCCTGTCCCTTAGGCAGGTCATTATCGGAGCAGGCACTTCTCATCAATGTCAGAGATCCCTGGTTAGTTTGTCCTTAGCTGTCCCCCCTGTAGGCATTTCACACTGAAAACAACCTTGTTGTTATATATATGCATGTACAGTGGAGATCTTTTTGGAGACCTCTGATTCTCAAGTCCCACTTACAAAACTAGCATTTATGGTTGATGACTACGAATATCTGGTGAATGTGGAGCCGGAGATGTCAACTTGGTACTTGACCCTCTGCGCTGCATTTGCAATTGCGTCACTGGGTGCTGTAGAACACAATTGTGTTGTTGACTTACAGTTTCAATTTAAAACTAAAAAAAACCAACCCAATATATTTTTCTCCTCTTGTGGTATGTATCATTTCACAGAGCTGACATTGACATCTACACAGAAATGTACATGTATGTATACATTATAAGTTATCCCGCGGCGAGCGCGAGTGGAACACGGAATAATGTAGTGCGTCTGTGTTATGTGGGACACAGACGCACTACATGTTCCGTGTTCCACGAGCGCGAGCGTGATAACGAATCTATCTTCAAGCAAACTTGGCGCGCAGTATAGTTGGAATGAGCACGTTTTACACGAACATTTCAGCAGTTCAGCGCAT